AAACTGACATGCTCTTCTAGTTAGTTGGAATACAGCATGTAAGATTCCAGGTTGGTCTCTATCCCTATGCAGTGACAACTAGTTAACCCTGGAGTTGTTAGATTAAAGATACTGTGCAGAGGCACGCAACTATCTGGTGTACCATTTGGATTTTATTGTGATTACTTCTGCATCTGAGTGAAGAGAAGAAAAATAGATTCATCGCATATAGCTCTGATATCACGTGAATGCAAGACCATAAAGAAATATTAAAGGAGGTCAACAATCTGCAAAACTAGAGAATGACTATGTATAGCTTCTTGTGCCACCAAGCTAAATTTAATAAATTCAAAAACAAACAGAAGACACTTCATATTTCTGGGGGAATTCTGCACCACTACTCACGTACAGAATTTATGTCCCCGCAGATTTCTTTGCTTCCCCGCAGAAAAATGACTTTGACAGGGAAGTAAAGGGAAGCCACAAAAGCAGTCATGCGACCCTCCCCAGCAGTATGTTTCAGGTACATAGAGCAGCAGGCAGAGAAGTAAATCACTGTGCGCAGGGGGTGGGACTAGTGAAGATCCAGCTGGTGGCTCCCACCCTGTGCCAGTCTTAGCTGCTAGCCCTGGCTGGGCTGGGCTGGGCTGGGCAGGGCTTCCTCTTCCGCTGCATGACACCCAGGGCCAGGTTAGACCCACTCCCAGATTTCTCTCCCAGCTGCAGAAAGCTCTGCAAATTCCCCCGCCCCGCATCACTCCTCAGCTGTAGGGGGAGGGATCCCTGCACAGAGAGCTGCTCCCTCATCTGCCCAACCCCTGTGCATCCAAACCCCTTCATACCCAGACCCTTCCACCGAGCCTCACCCCACCGCACTCAGCACCCCAACCATGAGCCCGACTCCTCCTGCACCTGGATCACCCAGATGAGATACCCACACCTGGATCCCCACCCCATTGAGCCCCAACTGGATCCCCACCGCCTCAGCATCTGGACCCTCCACTGAGCCCCAAGCACTTTCATCTGGACATCCCTGCAGAGTATCATTACCGTTGCACCCAGAACAAGCCCCTGTGCATCCAGATCTCCCCTGCACCCAAATTCCCTATTGAACCACATGCACCCAGATTGCTCCCCACAGAACCCTCAGCCCACATCTGGATCCCCCCACATTAAACCCCTCCACACTTGGACCCTGCATTGCTGAGCCTGCACGCCCACACCTGCTGCACCTGGTGTGGAGGGGCAGGGTCCTGGGGTGTTTCTGGGGCAGGCCCAGTTCTTGCACCATGTGAGGGTTGGGTGTAGCCTCACTGCTGAGTCAGTGTCTCTATGTGCTCTCCAATGCCATGCTCAAACCTCCACATTTGACAAATTAAAATTCTACAATTTTGCAGAATTTTAAAACATTGTGTGCAGAATTTTTTTGGTGCAGAATGCCCTCAGGAGTAACTTCAGCATCTCCTCCCAGACATTAAATGAACAAGATATTGCATTAACTCATGGATTGGTCCGGAGGAGAGAAGCAGTCAGCATAATGAATTCTTGGCCCTCTTACTCTTTGATGTCCAGATCTCTCATGAAGCCCAAATGTTCATTAGGGTGAACAGGTTTTTAGCTGTTCAACTTTAATTAAAGTAATTTAGCCAAATCTCTGTGCACTACACTGAAAGTTTCCTCAACAGGTACCAGATGGCATACCATTCCTCTGGAAAGGGGAGAAGGACTTGGTAGCAGGAGCATACATTGGTCTCTAACAGCTATTGGCCCACTAAGCTGGAATTGCTAACAGACACCACAATACGTACCTCTCAGGCTTTAGCAAGAACTCCAAAGAAAACAACCATTTTGTAGATAAATGAGGAAGAATAAATGCTAGTCTTAATAGATATTTTGGGGCAGCACTGTCCACAGAATTTAAGTCCCAATCATTTGATTGTCTAAACCGGACATGACCCAAATGAGAAACTATTATTCTATTAAAAATATTATATTCCAACAGCTGCTTCCAAAAGAGCTAAAATAAAAATAACTGAACTACTGCAATTAGATTAGGACACACAACCAGAACTGCTCTACACTGATTAAACCCCTCTCCCCCAAAAACCCAGCCCGAGGGGCAGGGTTCATATCCTTCCTTCACATCTGACTTTCAGACCCAGTGCCCCACACATAAGCTCTGAGGCACATGACCACAGATTAGCATTAACTGTTCTTGTTTGCAAACCACCCAAGAGTGGAATTCATGAAAACAAAATAAATGACAAAAAAGTTACAACAGCATTTGATTATTCAGTCCAATTTGCTTATTCTTCTCTACTTTTCTAGTGTGCCAAGCCCTAGTTTCCCTCTACACATTCAACTCCCTCTTTGACACTCACTTTTTCCATGAAGAAAAGGAGTACTTGTGGCACCTTAGAGACTAACCAATTTGAGCATAAGCTCAATTAAATTTATTCATAATTTATTTATATTCATATAAATATAATAATTCATATCATAATAAATTTATTTATTCATAATTTGAGCATAAGCTTTCGTGAGCTACAGCTCACTTCATCGGATGCATACTGTGGACAGTATGCATCCGATGAAGTGAGCTGTAGCTCACGAAAGCTTATGCTCAAATAAATTGGTCAGTCTCTAAGGTGCCACAAGTCCTCCTTTTCTTTTTGCGAATACAGACTAACACGGCTGTTACTCTGAAACTTTTTCCATGCTGGCCACAAAAAATAAGCCAACAAAATATGTAAGAAAAACTCCTCTGGGCTTCTCATTATGCCATGTCTTTTTGTGACAGACTCTATATGTGTCCGTTCCAGTCTTGAGCACAATATCAGCACTTATAGTAAACACAGGAGATCCTGTAAACCCCTTCTCAGAGTGCTGAGGACCACCTGATCTTTCATTCTTTTCAAGACACAGCAACTATCTCTCAGGATATAAGTATCTAGCAGCATACTATAGAATGATGTAAGGTGTTTCTTTGCCAGAGACTAAATGTGCTTGCTTTGTTATGGTCATTTGTATATGGCCTAGGAAAATGGGACCCATGCCTGGTAGGCACTACCAAAATACAAACTATAAACAATAGTACTGTTTTGTCAGTATAGCATACTCAGTCCCCAGAAGCCTGAGAATAGAGAGAGTCTGATTTTCAAACTTGGGACCCTAGCTAGAAAGAGCGCACACACTATGGCAAAATAAATACTTTGGCCCAAATCCTCCATTTCAATTCAATGGAGTGAAAAATGAAAATCTAAACAAGATATATAGGGTTTTTTGTCTTCAACAACTCAGATAGCTTTGGTTTTTAAAAGAGGTTTAAGTTTGTTATAGAAAATACTGCTTTTGTATTTTTAAAAAAACTGCAATCATTAATATTTGAACAAACAGCTCTTGCTCTTCTGCAATAATTTTTTTCCATGTCCTTTCCAATACAAATATCCATATTAAAATACAGAGCTCCTCCCAGTAAAGAGTGACATACTAGAATAGGCAGAAACAGCTCTTACAGACTCTCAAATACTAGCACAGACCTTGGCCTTGCAAGGAGCTCCACAAAGGAGCAGAGGTCCACTCCCATCGAACAATTTGCAGGATTAGGACCATAATTAGCTATTGCCCTCTATTGAAAAACCTGTGTGTCAACAGTGAGTATATGTACATTATGTGTCTGTCTAAAATAACTATTTACATGAGACTAGTCTCGTCCTTCACTCCAAAAATCTTTCCATAACAATTTTCATCCTACTATACTGTTTATAAAAACCCCCAAAACAGAAATTAAGATACCAAACTACACTAAAGTAACTGGATCTAGTCTATTTAAAATCCATTAACTATTAACACAAATTCTGTGCTGTTTCTCCAGTCTCCTTAAATAAAGCCTTGTTAGTTAAAGAAGTCATAGTGCAGTGCACGTTACATGCAGAGCACACTATGATATTTAGGTATAACTGGATAACAAAAATCCAGTTTTAGCCTGGAGTTTGATTTACATTGTGCAAAAAGATTTGGGGGGAGATTAAATGAAATCTCTAATTATTTAATATGAATGGCACAAAATAATATGTATATGCTAAATAAAATGCATTTGGCAGAAACAAATGACATTTACAAAAATATCACTAAAAGACACAGTAACGCATTTCTTCATTGTTTCAATTTGAGGTTACATTTCTATTTCGAAAGATGCAAAGGTAAATTAATTTCTACTTACCCAAATTCAAATACAATAGAAAAAAGGCAAAAACCACCACCACACAATTGTGCAAATTGTTTTGAATGTCAAAAGACCATACAACATATTAAAGCTATTTTTAATGCATTGCCCAACTGCATCACCCATTCCAACAGTCTCCCCTGAGTTATGAGACTGTTGCGTGAGTGCTTTCATACAATTACTTGTGTTAATCAACTCAATTGGTCAAATAGCCAAAGGGAGCATTTCAAAGGGTAATCTGATCACAACCCCTTATACATAATACCAGATCTCTTTTCTAATTTATGAAAAAATTATCAGGAGTATTACGAAAGGAAGACCTAAAGCTTAACCTTGCAACAGTTAAAAGAAATACTGTGGTTTTGTAGGATTTTCTTACAAACAGTGTAAGATCTAGCCATTGCTTGACAAAATTGATGCATTTAAGATATAGAATACTTACCTGCACACACAAATCAGATTCTTCCTAAAAGGGACCCTCTTCCCCAAGAGGGAACACATTACCTTCACAGAATCTTTATTATGACAGAGTATCAGAACTCCAGAGCATTCTGGGATTTAGCTGGGTTTTTTTTTTTTTTTTTTAAAAACCAGATGCCTACCTTTTAGCATCACATCATATGCTAATTCCCTATATGTGTTCAGCTTCTAGATTCATTCTTTCAGAAATGCATCTAATTCTAGTCTAGTCTAATTTGCCCAAAACATTGATTGCATTTTAAATTGTGGAAAACATAAAAGTATCTCTTAAAAAAAAAAAAAGGGGGGGGGGAGAAGTTACATTGAATAGTTTTACCTTCAGAGTTATGTGTAGTTTTCTTGTGTTTTCGGCATAAAATCCTATAAACAAAGTAGTTGAAAGCTGTCAGATAAGTCATGATTTAGAGCTCATTTAGTTTAATTTAAATAGCAGTACATTTCACCCTATTTACAAGACTCTACAGTTCCAACTTTGTGAATATGGAGTTTAATATAACAGTGTGCTAGACTGCAGTTAAAAATGTACACAATTACAACTTTTTTATAAAGCCCAAAATGTTTGTATCCCAATGATAGTTTTACAAAGAGGGTGAAATATAAATACAAGCAGAAACATGGTAGATAAATAGTAGTTACATGTAAATGCCTTGTGAGGGTTTCTCTCTTATTTGAGCTTTATCATGCAATGCACAGTAGTAGTGATATGTCTTGTGACACGTTTTCACATCACAACCAATGGTTGCTCCTGGACAATGGCATAAAGAGCACATCTATAACAGAAAGGAAGAGAAAAACAGAATTCATGCTAGCAGCAGTTTAATACTTTTGGCTTTGGAAATAATTGGAACCAATAGTCATAAAATAACTCCCCTCCTCACGAAACAGATGGCATTACTGAGAGCAATGTATTTAGTCATACGGTCTTTATCCACATTTTTCCCCAAGTGTCATTTTAAATTAATTTTAAAAGGAGAGACAGATGTGTCAGCTACTCAGTTATAAAATATAACAGTAAGATAATAATTTTATCATCTTAATTATTAATGCAGTGGAAAATAATCCAATAACTTTAGCTAAGTAAGAAGTGCCATGCTGGAACAAACTTAATTTTTCACTTAGATGTTATGCTTCCAAGAGTGGGTTATACCAAACACTGATCAACTGTGGATTATACGATGAAAGAAGGAGAGAAAAGGGACTTTCTTGCTGACCTCAGCTGGCAAATCAGTTTATTCCCTGAAGCATAAGGACTGAATGCTTGAAATTTTACCTTCGTTAACTGCAGCTGCCTCTTTTCCCCCCCTACAAATGTCTAATCCTCTTTTCAAATAATTGGCTTCAGTCATATTCTATGACACTATGGTACACAAAAGGAATGTCTAAATCATATTAATACCACCATCTTTGTTTTTATGCTGTAGAAAAGGCTACATAGAGGGCAATTGCTTTACTCTTCCTTTTCCAAGGACAGGCACTCTCTCATTTGAGAAATACCTCTTACGCTTCTAACATCTTCATGGCCCTTCTTCACGTATTGAATTAAAGGGGAAAAACATACAGTCAATGTATATAATGCCATTAATATTCATCATAATTTTTCTAGCTTCTTAACACTGCTCAAACTCTTAGAGTTTGACTGATTCTGAGGTATGTTTACTGAGCTATATTTATTTTTTCCCTGCAAATAATCAGTATATATTGTTCCTTACAATATACATTACCTTGCATAAGGCTACGAAGAGAAAAATTACCCACGCATCCAACATGCCTAACTGCCTTGCTTATCAGGTCTTTCTACAGTTCTTCCAATTCTTCTTTGTCTCAACTAACCTAAATAAACCTGCCACCAGCAAGTTTTGTAACCCCACAGTTTACCCCATCTTTCATAATGTTAAAGTTAACTGAACAAAACAAAAAAGGAGTGAATCTTGGATCATCCTGCTATTTACCTCCCTACAAATTGAGAAAAAATGGCTCTATTCATACTGTTCCATTGCTCTTAATCAGTTTTTAAATCCATGGTAGGTGTTCAATCAACCCTCTGTATTTCAAGTTTCCTAAGTAACTTCTTGTGAGCAACTTTATTAAAATGTATTTACACTTTCAGAATAAACTAATCAGTTCCCTTTTATCCACTATTTTAATTCTTTCATATATTTTAATAGGTTAGACAAACAATTTACTCTTACATAAGCTGTGAAATCTCTCTAGTGAAATGACAAACTGGAAGAACCTTTATATTGATTTATTGATCTATTTCCCTTTGGAATAAATTTTAAATTTGTTGGAATGATTTTTATTACCTGATTGGCTTGTAACATGTTTAATTCTCTAGGTACATCAGGCAAATGAAAAGTTCTAAGCACAATAAGAGACCACATTTTAAGGGTTTCTCCTCACATACAGCTAATAGAAGTAATAATGACCTCAGATCAGTGCATTTACTGGGAAATAACAAGCTGATATTACTGGCCTATCATTATAGCTTAACCCCTCAACTATCACCAGAAATATTCTGCATTTCTCCCATCATTGCTTTAATATGCAGAAGTAGCTTCAAGTAGCAACATCTACCAAAAGAGGACAACTACTTAAACTCTGCCTGCCAGCAAACAGAATTTAGTAAAAATTACCAATATGACTATTAGATTTGGAAAACCACACTGAGTGCTTTACTGCTTCTCCTATGAAGAAGAAGTCAAGAATGGAAAACAATCACTAAGTACAAAATGTTTAAAGAAAGACAGTGCACATTCAAGCTTATCAGGACAAAACCATTTAGCCTCTTCATATAAAACTTGGACCTAGTTCAAGTGCCTGGTTTCGCTAGATGGTGTGCTTTAAGAATCCATCCTCTTCCAACATGTTACTGATAGAACAAAAAAAGATTCAGAAGCACAAAGAAAAATCTATATTCTCATGAATCCCAAACATACAAATCTTGTAAAACCATTTAAAAAAAGACTTAATCGTCAAGAAGTTTCTTGTTGGCCCACATAGCCATATGCTACTCTGCTCTTTATAAATATCAAATCTCCAATCACACCTATACTCTCCAACTGCTATAGCTCAATGAACACATAATATAATTAGAGCAAATAAAACTCCACACTGAAAAAGACTAAGCAAAGTACTGTACTGTTTAGTGATGAGGCTGTAAGTAGCATGAGGTGCATCATGTAACTTCAACCTCCAAATAAAGCATCCCTGGTAGAACCTCTTTCCAGACACACCTCCCCGTCCCAAAAACTGAAAGTGCTTAAGGACTGTTTTAGTTATACTGTATCACTTGTTAGAAAATATTTGCAAAAGCAGTCATCTCCCAGCTAAGAAAGATGATTGTAATAATACCTAGCTCTTATATCAAACTGAAATCAGCCTTAAAAATTGAGTAATGCCTTGCAAACGAACGGCCCTTCATATCACACAGCTCCATAGCAGTTTGGTGAGGCTACGATTAAACTAGTTTTCAGTATGTGCATCTCATGAAAAATCTGCATCCCAAGGCTCTATCAAATCATTAAAAAAACCGAAGCAATAAGTATCTTGGCAGTAAAGGCCAGTTTTTGGCAGTGAAACCAACTGCTGGTAAAGGAGCAGTGTTACACTTGCATAGCTCCCTGGAATGCAGGGCTTTGGAGCGGAGCCCACGGAGCAGCTCCGGAGCAGCAGGTTTTTGCCTGGAGCTGGAGCAGAGCTGGTGCACAGCTCCAAAGCCCTGCTGGAATGTGCTTCCATTGTGAAATCTGTCTGAAAATATTAAATAGGAAAGTAAATTTAAGAAATGCTGGTTTCTCTTTGTATGCAGCCCATTAAAAAGAACAAGTAGTTTATTTTGTTTATGAGTTTTAAAACTTGATTGGAAAAATTATGCCACATATTCACTATAACCATCTTTATTTGTTGATAACATAAGTACAGTGCTAGTGAAAATGTTAAGATTTGCAGTTCATTTTTAGTAATTCCAAAAGTATTCCACAATCTCCAAAATAACCTATTTATATATTTGAATTAGACTATACACATTATGATTAAAATAAAAACAAATTGATTGCTTTAAGACACTTCCCACTGTTAGTCATTTGACATTTAGAACTCAGTCCTGTTCCTATTGAAATCAACTGCAAAACTCCTATTGATTTCAATAAGGGATCACACCTATTGGTGGCTATCCATCTAGCTACCACCCGACCCTTTAAGATTTACCCCCCCCCCTTTTTTTTTTTTAAATGCGTGACCAGTTTTATCTTAATGACTCCTCACACGGGTTAATTACCCATTACACTAGAGGTCACAGACAAAGGGAAAATCTTTTTTTTAAAAGATATGATACAATAACTAAGTTCAGTAGTACACTGAATTAGTTCATTAGATACTTTGCAGAAGTTAAGAAAATGCTACTTTTCCATTTTCAAGAGGCAGAATTACAGACTTACCAGTTTAGTGCCTCTTTTTATTTCCTTTTGAACATCTTCAATAGAAAATCCACCAAGACTCTCATTATCAGAGTGTGAAGATACCAATGCAGATGAAAATAGCTGCAAGTTGTGTAAAAACAAAAACTTAATTTTAAAGGGCTTCCCGTAATATGGAATAATTATAATTTGTAATAAGGAACAATTTCAAAATACAAACAGTGGTATTAGTAACTTATATACCACTGCCACAAGTGGGCTGAAATTATTCAGGATTTCATTTATTTACATAACGCAGTTAATAAACTCACAGCTTTAACTTCCTTTCCCTCCATTACTTACCATACATTTGTGATGTGCTGCCACCTTCTGGTTTTCAGACATCAGTAATTGCCCACATTCATTATCTTTATTAGACCTACAAAAACCACACTTCCGTTGCCTTGAAGACCCTTTTTTCTGTCCAACTGAGCTCGTCATGATTTTTAAAATGGCTTTAGAATGACACTTCAGTCCTCACAAATGCTACAGGGAATAAAAATGTCCAATAGTGATGTTAATTTCAGCTGAAATTAATTTAAATTATATTTACTCAAGTTACTTTGCATTTCTCTTAAAATACCTGAAACATCCACTACGTCTCAGAGTGGAATATAATTTGTCTCATACACACAGCTAGAGTATAATATATGAACAAACATGTATATCGCAAAAGATGTATTTCCCAAAATCTTTAAGAATGTGGCAACAGGATATATAATGGTCCCTAAAGTAAGAGAAGTAATAAAATTTATACAAATGTAAAGGCTGAGAGAGGGGAGGGGAAGGGGGAAATGAAAAATATAACAAGTACAGGAATCATTTAGGAAATCCTGATGCAATATTGTCTCTCATTCCATTTATTCATTCATTCATTCCAGAAGCACACTGCACAGGGAGATCTTTACCTTAGCATACAATAAAACCCATTCTACTGAACTCCTTTAGAATCAGCAATAAAAAAACTGGGCTACCATCCATAAAAACTAATAAGTATTGAATTTAAAAATACTCATCTTCAGCTTTACAAATATGAGTAACTGTCCTTATGAGATGAGAAGATAAAATGTTACCATTTTAGGTATTACACAGATACAATGTGGCTAGTTGAAGTCACGAACAAAGTTTTAGAGGTGAATATTTGTGACTAATATGCTGTAATAGAAACCCTTTAAGATCCATGGTTGTTTTTCACAATCTTACCCTAATCCTTAATATGTGCATGACAACAGCTGTTCTTATCCTAAGAAAATTTAAAATTAAACTCCACATAAATCACATGCTTGTAAAACATAAAAAGTAACAGTTAAAAATACAACACCAAGGCCCCAGTTCAGCAATGAGATTCACATAGGTGGATCCACTTCAATGAGGCTTCATACATGAATCTGTCTATGTGGATCTCATTAGAAATTGGATGTTTTAGGGCCCAAACATTCAAGGATACACACTTTTTGGACCCATTTTAAAGTTGAGGTTTGCGTCCATTCACCTTTACATCTCTAAAAGAACAAACAAGCTATAATTTATATAATTAAATGGTCTAATTTAGAGACCCTAAGTAGTATGCTTGTTTACTGCTTTTCCTCTTTGAAGATCTGGGTCTCAGTATCGTTCTGGTCACATATGCAATGAATATGGGTTTCTCAGCCTTCGTCTCCAGTAGACGCCCATCTAAATCAGGAAGACCATTACATAGTTCAGAACTTCTGCTAAAAAGAGGTCCTTGGCTACAGTGGCTGAGGCGTCATAGGTCAGGATTGAGTTGCAATGGTACAACTGACTGGTGAAATTTGTCTAGTCCAACTCTGCATGGTTCTTGAAAGTGCTACAAGTTCCTCACTTTCCTAGCCACTAATATCACTCCCTATTTTTATAACAGAAATAGGAGGAACACTTAAGTTTATATACCTCTGTACAGAATAGAGTTAATGAAGATCCTTTTAATTCTCATGTGGTGTTATTCACAAATTTTCATAGATATAATTTAAAAACATTTTTTCTTGCCATGCTAATACAAGATTCGTATATCAAAATGTAAATGTATGTCTTATCTCTAGTGCTTGTTCTTTTTACTGTTTCATTTACTTCCATTTTTAAGTATAAAGCAATATACTAGATTGGTGACACATACTTGTAACAAGAATGCACATATTCTAGACCTAGCTCATTTACACACAAAAAGAGTGCCATGTGAATAAATGAGTCACACCCTTTTGCAGTGGCAACAGAGAGCCCTTAAACGTTAAGCACAAAAAAAGTACTTACTATATTCTTCTTAAGAGAAATCAAAATAAGATAACTCTGCACTCCATTTATTAAACAGAAAGAATGGCTGGCTTTTGAAGAAAGTAAAGAGAGACTTCCAAAATGTTCTTTAATTCTTTAAAATCTAAATGAGATTTTGGAAGCAGGGAAAAGGGCTTCAGAAGAACAGTAGGAAACTATATAAAAAGATTTTTTGTTCTTAGGTCACATTCAAAAGCTTCACATAAATCATGCAATAATGGGCTGAAATACTGTAACAATTTAAAATGCAAGAACTTCTGTTTTGATAATTAATATTACAGTAGTTATATATACACACACACGTACAAGAGGCTATATGCATGCACTGTGGATTAGCTTTAATTTGACTTTTCTTTTTTTTCAGATTTCATTTAATTTTTCTTACTTTATTTTCTTATTCAGGAACTAACTCTTGTGTCAGCAACAATGACAGCCCTAATAAAAGTAACTTAAGACATTTAAAGTCAAATTCTGTCCTTGGATGTGTGTTCACAAAGTCCCATTGACTAAAACAGGAGTTATACACACAATCATATGGAGAATTTGGCTTTAGGTATGTCAATCACTCCTGCTGCTACATCAATAGACTCTCCCTTTTAATCTCTATCTGAATGGCAAACTATAAGATTTTGGAAGATTTGAATAATTCATAACCACGGAAGTCAAAATGATTGCTCACTTTAATATTTTGCTTCTTGGAAGTTACTGATAAAGAAATATGTTCACAGGTCACTTGGCCTTCAGCATTATGTTGTACAGTGCATCTAAGACACACACATATAATAAGATACACGATTAATAGGGTATGCATGTACCATTGTTTATATTACCTCACTCCTTGAAATAATTTTGTATTTTTTACAACTTAGAAAATGATGGTAATGTGTGCTCCATTGAGCAGGTCCCTGTTAGCATAGCAATGAAAAGATGCAATTAACTGGCTGAAATTGTGTTTTGGCATGATTATTCAAATACAGATATTTTTAAAATGCAAGTACAACTAAAAAGCAAAGATTAGGTCAGAAAGGAAACACATTCCTATCAAAATCAGATTTGATTATTCCCAAAGCATTTTTAAAGGAAACCTAAAAACGCTCTCTAATTGTGCTTTTTGTTTGCACGTGTTTTCTGTATACCTAGGCATTTGTACATTATTTATACATTGTTAACGCTTGCAAAAGAAATTGATTAGTACCAGAAGTATTTTATCCATACTACTGACTTTAAGTTACATTTGTTCACCCATGATGTACATTAATGCATTTTCATCACATATGACAATCTGGTATGGACTGGAAATTCTTTCCTTCATATCATAGGGTGCAAATGGCATCCTGTTCACATGTATATATTTTTTCATAAATTCACATCACAAACCACCATGGCTTGCAGTGAATGTATATTAACATAGGTTAAGACTGAGTAAGCTACTTAGTATAGAAAAATTGCTAGGTTTAGATTTTCAATAAGACTACTTACAAATAACAAATGTATCTGACAGCGTTTCAGAAGAGCAGAAACCTTTATATTTAGCTCTATTTTAACTAATTTACATTTTCTGAAGACAGTTAGAACCAATTGCCCTGCCACATTACAGATCCATCATCCTGAATGCAAACATTTAAAATCTTGCCATTTAATTTCTTATTGAAAATAGTTTATGTCTAATCCAGATTACTGACTAAACACCAACCTACTTCTCACTCGACCAAAACAGGCACAACTCAAAATCGGCAAAATATTCTTCCAATCCACTTTTTAAAATAAACTATAAACTGGGTTGTTTTTTTAAAAAAAAAATGTGACGTGTACACATATCGTTGGACTGAAACATTAGTCGCCAAGTTTCAGTCAGAAGCAAGATTTACAATTATGCTATAAACCCTGTAAACAGAGCTATATCATAGAAACATTGACTATGGACATCTGTACCAGTAACAGCAACCTATTTAAAAGAGACAAATGAGTCTTTTTTTTGGAGCTGTACTGACAATACAATACTAAAATCATGTCAGTATCTTCCAAGATCCTATCTAAAGGGGTACCTAATTTCACAATAAAATCTCCTATAAAATGAAAAAAAAGGAGTACTTGTGGCACCTTAGAGAATAACCAATTTATTTGAGCATAAGCTTTTGTGAGCTAGAGCTCACTTCATCGGATGCATACTGTGAAAAATACAGAAGATGATGTTTTTATACACACAAACCATGAAAAAATGAAAGCTGTGATAAGAGATTCTCAGCTACAAAAAAGGATTCTTTTTGTAATTCTCTCTTCAGAATTTGTTCATCTGTGCAGTTTAATTGATGCATATTAAGACAGTACTCAAGGTCATCTTTTCCTTCTTGATATCTTTTTTATTTTTATAAGAGTTTTTCACACAAACTATGTTAAGCCCTGCACTCTAGTTTTATTGCCATCTTCTATAGGACTAATTCTAAATGCACAAACAGGCATACTCCTTGTCCTCATATGAAATCTTGCAAAAAAAAAAAAAAAAGAGTTTAGGAGCTTGAATTCATAACTTGGCTAGACACTAAAAATCATTATCTTAATAAAGACGCTCGATTTACCGCTTATTACAACAATCTGGAACTCACTAACCCCTCCTTTTGTCCTATGTCTTCAAGGATGTTAACAGGCCACTTTGCCTTGAATGGTCCCTTAGAATATGTGCTAATGACTTATAGTAAACTATCTGTTCGATCTTGCATTTAGCTGTGACACTGAGTACCTTTCCCAGACCTGAGGAAGAGCTCTGTGTATCTTGAAATCTTGCCTCTCTCAGCCAAACAGAAGCTGGTCCAATAAAAGATATTCCCTCATCCATCTAGTCTCTCCAATACTCAACATCTCTCAGGAAAAAACAAGGAGGGCACTTTCTCAATATATGAAACATTACTCAGCACTGAGGGAGGAAAAGATAGATAAGAAAGGAAGTTCAAGAGCTTTTCTTCATGCTCTATTTATTAGCTAAAGTCAGGCCCAAGCTTGCTATTTCTTACATAGAATACTGGATTACAGTTTATATGCAAGGCTCTCTACAGTAAAGTTTAATTGTTTTGCTAAAACCTCTGGATTCTTCACGATTAGATTTCAGAGTAACAGCCGTGTTAGTCTGTATTCGCAAAAAGAAAAGGAGTACTTGTGGCACCTGAGAGACTAACCAATTTATTTGAGCATGAGCTTTCGTGAGCTACAGCTCACTTCATCGGATGCATACCATGGAAGTCTGCTGCAGTTTCCACGGTATGCATCCGATGAAGTGAGCTGTAGCTCACGAAAGCTCATGCTCAAATAAATTGGTTAGTCTCTAAGGTGCCACAAGTACTCCTTTTCTTTCAGGATTAGAGGTGCTATGCAAACACAGGATTGTTTGGGTTTTTGTTTTAAAAAAAACATGTAACAGAATTTGAGACATGGGACAAGCACAAGAGAAACATGCCTAGACATTTTTCATTTAAACTTGTTAGAAAAGGGATTTTGGATACTTTCAGATGAAAAAAATAAATATTTAGGCAAGTATTTTTACAAGTGACTGGTGATTTTGGGTACTCAACCTGAAGTACTTTAAAGGGGCCTAATCTTCAGAAAATGCAGATTACCGATCCCCTGCCAATCAAGCCTCTTTAAAGTATCTACTTGAACAATGAGCACCCAAAATCATTAAGCACATGAAAATCTTGGTTTTAACGCATATGCAAACAAGATTTGTTAGCCTCTAAGGTGCCACAAGTCCTCCTTTTCTTTTTGAAGATTTTCCATGTACCTCATACCTAGCGAAAACACCGAAGGCTGGTGTAACAAGCCTGCAGCAGATAATTTGGATTTACTTTCAGGAAAGTCTGGGATTCCCACCCATGAAGGGGGCGTGGAGGGTTTGATCGAGCCATGATGCGGGGCATCCACCTCACAGGAGAAGGGTTCAACCCTGGCTTGAATAGTTTGGTGGGGCAGGCAGCTGAGTGGGGTCCCCCCTCTCAGAAGGAAGAATTACCTCTGCCGTAGCTTGCAGTGTCCCTGGGGTGGGATTCTCACGCGGAAATCGATCCCGACGGCTCCCTGCAAGGCAGGGGCGCTTCCCAGCTGGATTATTAACGCCAGGAGAAGACGGGGGGCCCTGAGAGACGGGAGAACAGTCTAGGCTTGGAGGGAAATGGCCCCCAGTTTTGGGGGTCCCCTTACAACACGGGCACGAATCCCACCGGGCGCAGGGGGGACCGCTGGGCCCTTCGGGCGCTACCCCGGGACGGGCTGGGGTCCGCCCCTCCAGAAGGGCGAGCCCCCCGCCAGGCTTGGGCGGCTGTTCCCCGGTTAGGCCGGCGCCTCAGGCCTGAGCCCCGGCGGCCCCCCCCAAGCTGCAGGGGCGCTCGGCGGGGCGGGCGGGGGGGGGTCTCTCCTCAGGCGGAGGGGCCGGGCAGGGGCTCCCCCGCCACCCGCCCGCAGGCGGCTGGGCCAGCGCCGCCCTCAAGGCTGGCTCGCTCGCTCACTCACCCAGGTAGGCGGGGCGCCGGGGAACAAGGACTCGGGGGCCCCGCGCCGCTGGGCACTCAGAACCGCTCGCTCGCTAGCGCTGGGACCTTCCCTTTCATTCGGGGCAGGGGACGCTGCGCCGCCGCCGCCGCCGCACGCACGCACGTCTTCGCGCTGGCGCCCAGACGTCACGGCGTTCCAACCGGCGCGTGATTGGTGCACGAGGCTGCGAGGCGCGGCCGAGGAGAACTGGTCCCGGAGCGGCCTGCGGTGGCCACGCAGGCGCACACGAGCATCCGAAGTCGTCGGCTGCGGAGAGGGCGGTGGGGGGAGCGCGCGCACAAGAGAACCCGCGCGTGCGCAGCTCTCCCTGACAGCTGGCGGGGATGGGGAAAATGGAGAACCCGCGCGTGCGTAGAATGCCTTTTGGGTACAAGGAGGGTGACCCGCGCATGCGTACAGATCATTTTGAAGGCTGCTGTGGGTAGAATGAACTGGAGGTTGGGAGGCTGCGCGTGCGCATGGCGGAGCTGGCTCTGCAGAAGGGCTGGAGGGCACAGTCCCTCATGCACCAGAGGTGGGCCTTGCTTGTGGCACTCACACCGCCAGACTCCCTTAGGGCCGGGGCTGTGCTCTTCCTGGGTACAGTTACTTTTGGGCCTGTGCCAGGTGCTGTACAAACACAGAACAAAAAGGCAGCCCCTGCCTCAAGGAGTTCACAACCTGCCACCCACCATGGCTCTTGTGTCACCTGCTGCTGCTAGTTACATTAACACAATAGCTTTGCTTAGTGACAGATCCATTGTCTCAGGACACAGCCCACCCAACTCTTAAAACCGTGTCTAGAGGGAAAATCTGCTTGCCTTGCCTGCTTCCTGTTCTGTTGGTAACACGGTCTAATACTGGGTAAAGGTTTTATTTCCATCTCCAGTCAATAGCTATCAAAAAAAACCCCAACACATAGCTGAGGTCCATTAAACTTGCACTCTGATGCAAACCCTTAACAGTGACCTCAAAACACTCTTGCATCAACAGATCAGCACATTTAATGATCACATTTCCTGGGTATTTGGGAAGTTATTCTGCATTAACATTGCTGAGGTTGCCACTAAGATTTGGTCTTAGAGTGCAAACCTGAATGAAGCTGGAATAATATTTTTTAGTATTTGGGTCACCTGTGTCTGCCCCTGTGAAGCCTACCTTCAGACTTGCCAACGTATGACAAACAAGTGAAATGAAGTATGCATCACACGATAATACACAGATTATAGTAGTTTTTAGGTTAAAAAAGATGTTTTCTTACTGGATCCCCCACTGTGGGCTGTTAACAGGGTTTAACCCTGGCGTTTGAGACTCAGATCAGTACACTTGAACTACAGGAGTAATTACTAGTATGTGAACTATCTCCCAGAGGACTTGATACACTTTCAGTGGGTTGGTTGCACAGCTATTTGTTAGTAGTAGAATGGAGGTCAGGAATCCTAGGGGCAGATCCACAGCTGGTGTACATTGCATTGAAGTCAATGGAACGATGACAGTTTACACCAGCTGAGGATCTGGCCCCTGGACTCTAACCCTGGCTCTGGGAGGACAACATGGTGTAGTAGTGGTTAGAGATAAGAGAACCAAAGCACCTACATATGGATGAATTGATCTGAAAGGCAACATAGCTAAAAGTCAGGCCTAACCCCCTTCAGGGCTTGTCTTCATGGCAAAGGTTAGCTCAAGTTACTCCATTTGAGCTAGCCACCTGGAGTGAGAGAATCCACACTGCAAAGCTACACAGAGTGATTGGATTAGAAACACAAATGTGCTAACAGCTCACAGCCAGTAGCTACATCCTCACTGCACTGCTAGCTTGGGCATCAGCAGCACTCAAACTTCAGTCCATATCCCTTGACAGACCAGCTAGCTTGAGTTTGAAGCACCACTTCACTTGAGCTGGAGATGTTTGTGTGTAGACAGGAGTCAGAGTGGGGTGATGTTAGGGGGCTTATTCCTTCACCCACTTACTTCCCTGGTCCTTCTCGCATGAACAGAGAGCAACAATATCCGAAGTCCAAAGGTGCAAACAATTCGATGTTTATTGGGGTGAACTTCCAGCAAGCATGATTCCAGTTTCCTTCCTTAGTATCCTCCTTCCCAGCTCTGACACCACAGAGCCTTACACCTGTGTCCCTGTTCCCATTCCTGCCCTTAGCCAAACATGATTCCAACTTCCTTACTCCCATTCCCTGTTCCCATTTCCCCCTTTAGCAAAACATGATTCCAATTTTCTTACCCCCATTCCCTGTTCCCATCTCCCCCTTTAGCAAAACATGATTCCAATTTTCTTACCCCCATTCCCTGTTCCCATCTCACACACCCACATGCCCACCCACACCCACACCCAGTCACTTCCTCATTGACTACAGATTATATAGTAAAACTTGAGTTCTGCTTAGCTATACCTTAACCAATCATTTTCCTGAAATTTAACTAACCCATCCTAACATATTGTAACATGATTATGTAACCAATTATATCCCACCACCTCAATTAGTTTACACCCAGCAAAATTAATTATACAGCAGACAGGAACAATCACAGAACCAGACAGAGATTATACAGACAAACAGCAAAGTGGGAACTATAATGACAAAACAATACAGAAGTGAGGATTTCACATCCCAGCTATTGATAAGTGAGTTCTTGCCAGACAGGATGCTATCAAACTAAGTTTCCTTTTACATTTTCTAGGCACTTCCCTTTCTCTGGAGGTGATAGGAATACAATCCTGTCCTGATAGTGCCTAACAGCCCAATAGCACCTTATTTCAATGTGACTAGTTTGGAATGTGAGGATGTGACCGTTCGCTTCCCAGCTTATGGCTGCCTCTGCTGCTTAGCCAAAGGCCTGAGCCTAAGCACAGGGCCACAAACTGTCACAGTAAGAGAAGGCCCTTACACTGGCAGACAGTGGTTTTGATTCTTTCTTTTATACCTCTATCACTAGCCAAGTGATAAGAATACACCTAAATTCTTAGAGTATAGGCCTTTACAGACAGGCCTGAATATCTATATCCTAACAGGTGACACCCAAATTATACATTGAGCTGACATTACAGTTGATACAAGACCTCAGAAACTTGAGCTGTATTCCCAATTTATTATTAATAATCATGTTTACTACCATAGTGCTTAAGGGACCAACCTAGAATGGGGTCCCATTGTGCTAAGTCAGTGGTGGGCAACCAGCAGCCCACGGGCCACATGCAGCCCATCAGGTAATCCGACTGTGGGCCATGAGACATTTTCCGATGAAGTGAGCTGTAGCTCACGAAAGCTTATGCTCAAATAAATTGGTTAGTCTCTAAGGTGCCACTAGTACTCCTTTTCTCTTTGCGAATACAGACTAACACGGCTGCTACTCTGAACTCATTTTGCTGACATTGACCATCTACAGGTACGGCCCCCCCCCCACCCCCAGCTCCCAGTGGCTGCGGTTCCCCATTCCTGGCCAATGGAGAAGATTGTGAGGGAGGAGCAGGAAGAGGGTTGGAGCAAACAGCCAATCAACACAGGGCAGAGAAAGTGCATTCAAAACCATTATTGTTCTAAATAGCACAAGTGGAGTAATGTGTAAGACAAAGATCAGATCCCAGAAGGTTACCCATTTTTGCTAAAATAGATTTAAAAGAGGTGAAACACCCCATGGATTTCCTAATGCAGCATTCTGTCAGATCCATAGGCATTAAGATCGGTGATCTCTCGCTCTCAGACCTTGACTATGCAGATGGTGTTCTTCTTCTAGTACAAAGCCCTGACAGCAGAGGCGGATTAGAGATTTGTGGGGCCTTGGGCCAGAGCAAGTGGGGGCCCCTCCCCATCCCTTCCACCTGCAATCCCTCCCCTAAGCCCCACCCCACACTCCTGCTTGGGAAACAAGGTTGGGGCACGGGGACTTCCCCTGTCTGCCCGGCGCTCCTGTGGGGCAGTGGGGTCAGGGAGTGGGGTCAAAGCATGGGGGCTTCCTCACTCCACCCACCCGGCACTCCTACCAAGGAGCAGGGTCAGGGCACGGGGGCTTGCCCTGCCCCACACACCCTGCACTCCTACCAGGAAGTGGGGTTGTGGCGCAGGAGCTTCCCCTACTCCTGTTAGGAGTGCCAAGCGGGCAGAGCAGGTCAGGGCACGAGGGTGCCTCAATTAGCCAGGGCCCCTGGGCACAGGCCCCATTGACCCAGTGGCTAAACTGCCACTGCCTGACAGATTTTGCAAGGCACTCTAGCAAATGGAGGAGTCAGCTAAGGTTGGCCTCCACATTTTGCAGTAAAGGACAAAGCTGCAAAATCTAGGATCAGGTCCACCCTAAGGATGTAAATATTGGTTTAAAAAGTTAACCGGTTAAATGATTAAAATTATATTGTTTAACTGGTTAATCATTAACCGGGGTCACTCCGGCTGGCCTGGTGCAGCGGAGGCTGGGGCTGGGGTCCTGCCGCATCTGCAGGGCTGGGGTACAGGCTGGCACGGCCAGGGCGGCCAAGGCTGGGGTTCCACTGGCATGGCACAGCCAGAGCTGGGGTCCCACTGGCACAGCGTGGCTGAGGGCAGTCGAGCCTGCCCGGCACGGATGGGTCTGGGGTCCCGCCGGCCCGGCCAGGGCTGGGGTTGCTCTTGCCCAGCGCAGCCATTTTTTTGCTTTGCATTGATATTATCCCTGTAAAGTTCCATGATATTATTCCTAATTACTCACTCCTTTTTTGAAATGTACATCATTCACTGGGGTTTGTGTTTATTGTCTGCCTACAGACTTTGTTTTACTTTGAGATTCAGTTCTTCTTCAGAGCAAAGACCAAGTTTGTTTTCTGCCTTTTTACAGGCCTTTCTCTGATTTTATGAGGGAAGAGACCCACAGTACATGTTTGGTTCAACTTATTTAATGGTGTTATTCTTTTCCAAAGAGAGAAGGAGAAGCAGTAAATTAATTTTGCTG